TGACTAGTATGCCTACAAATTTGATAGACAAATCACCTGATTTTCCTTCTTGGATGCTGAATACATGAGTGTTGATCCGCCACTTCGTCTTGACTAAGTCTGTTCATTTTTCCGGTCGATTTTTTGTAGTTCCAAACATCTAATGAGAACTGCATTAGTCTCCATTCCCCACTCCTCCAGTTACTCCAGGTGAGTCTACATCTAATTTATTTTGGTACAATAATGTTGATGCTCTGCAAATAATTCCTTGAAGAGCTTCTATTTTTCAGTTGCTTCATTTCCTTGCTTATTGCATAATCCGGACTAGCTTTCATTGCCATCAGCTGAATGCAGTGGTTCTCGTGTTTCCTGTTTATGTCTTCTTCATCTTGCATCTCACTCTTAGAATTTCCACCTCCGCCACTTCTGCCCACATCGACTTTATGCCAGTTGTGAAAGTTCTCACACTCTTCTTGTTTGATCAGGGAAACTTACGGCGTATTATCAAGAGCTGAGAAGCTTGGCTGGCTTTCCATCCATGATATCATCGGAAGTCTCCTCAAAGACCTTTTTATGTCAGTCACAAGCGTGGAGCCAACAATGGTAATCCATTTCTCAGGTGGTACGTGCTGTAAAAGGTTTGAGAAGCTCTTTTGCTCCACCCTCTTGTCTTCAAACTCTTACCTCATCCCCCTTCCTCTCCTGTCCTTTCATTCATTCCTGTCTTTTGTGCTGTGAGATGCAGAAAGGAAGGGAGGAGCGGGGGGAAGGGGCAAAGGAGAGGGAGCTTTTGTTGGCTTTCAGGTGCTTTCACATGAAAAGACAGGGTACACACCTAGGTTGCCGCCACGACAACCCATGGCGTCTCACTTGCTTCCGCTGAGTATACCTGAGTTAGCCTTCAATTGCTTCTGCACCCCAGGTGTGCATAAACACATTGAGAGGCAGGCGCAGATACAGTGAACCTTAAATTGGCAGAAATACACATACCTGTGTCACAAGAATATATTCCCAGTTGAGACACAAGCGGATGATGCTTATCCGCAAACATGGTTGCAAAGGAACAAGGCGACACGGAGTGTGTGTGGTTTGAGTGGGGGTACTTGCTGATTGTGCGGCAACTTTCTTTGTTCTCCCCGTGAAAGGAGCTCAGGTAGCCCTCGGTAATTTTATTTTATTCCCAGGTAGACCACGCTGAGTGCTCTCAAGTTAGAGTCAGGTGTCGGGTAGCTGCTTGTCTTTGTGTCTTCAAGGCTGCTGTTGCTTGGATAGTGTTTACAGCCTGGGGAGCACAGTGCAAAGGGGGAGGACAGGGCACTAACTTTGATCTGATGCAGACTGTTTGATAGTTTGCGCAGGAAGGAGATAAAGTGTGAGAAAAAGAAACGGGGTAAGGTAGATCCACATTTAGGTCTTTGCTACAAAGGCTTGCAGCTCTGCTATGTGTGTGTGTGTGTACATTCATGTTCAAAAGCCTCAGCAGTGGTACAAATATCATGGTTTGATTTTTCGTTGTGACCGTTCACATTGCTTTTACATTTTTAAGCAGATTTGTTATTTTAAAGAATTGTATCTCAATAAGCTTAAAACCCAGCTCACTTGTGAAGCTTCCAACCAGCCCATCTCTATCAAGCTGACAACAGAGAAATCACTGCCTTCTTGTGACAGCTTCTGTCATGGAAAATGCCAAGGACAGATCTGACAGCAGCTTTAAACATCCTCATGGAGTAACTTATATCCACGATCCTGTCAAATTGTACAATCATAGTATATTTAAAACGTGCCAAGCGCAGGTTTAATAATGTCGGTAAAGAGAAGATGCTTTGCATGACTGGATTCTTACCACAAAATGGCACTACATCCTAAAAATCAACCTAACCAGAAGATAGTTGCTGTTTACACAAAAACAGCATCTATTCACCCAGACAAAGTACTTTGACCTTTGACAGCAACATCTAGAGAAGTCCTTTGGTCGAACTTCCTGACATGAAGATTTGAAGCAAGCATAAATTGCCTCGAGCCTCTACTTGATACGTATCATTCTCAAGTGAATATCTGGATTCAGCCTCATCACACACCAGCTGAAGGTATGAAGAAAGGTTTGGTATTACATCATTAAAACCCTGTCAAACTCCAGTAAATCACAGAAACATGCAAAAAAAAAAAAAAAACACAAAAAAAACTACTAAAATTCTCTAAGTCACCAAGCACATTTGTTATAGCGAAGACATTTGACCATGACTTCTTAAAGATGGAAACATGGATTTCACTTTCTTCAGTGTTTATCTGTCCTTCCACAGGATAAACCAAGACCAAATTACACTCTAATCGTTTGAGATGGGAAAAGAAAATAACTTCACAAATAGATACTAATACGCTTTTGTGTGTGGATTCTGCTTCATTGCTCTCTTCTAGTTTGTTGACCTAAATCATTCACAATTTGTCAATAACACAATAGGTTAGGTTTGTATCACAGTTTCTTAGGGGAATTAAAAAGCTCTATTGTTCCAGGAAAGAAATGGTCATGTTGTAATATAATCTACAACAATAACTTGTAAGAATGTGCACAGAAAATGTCCGTGCTCATCCATCAGTACTCCTTCGTGTCAAAATTATTATTAAATATTCGCAAATTCTGCTGCATGCTGATTTGTGCCGCTTCCCTTCTGAGCACACACTCATCCGTGAACTGCAAGATCACGTCCAGTCTGAGCAAATCCTGTTTGACACTCACAGCTGTATGAGGAGCCATGCGAACCGAGAAGACAGGATCAAAACAGGAAAACAAGAGAGGCCAGTAAAAAAAACAGAGAAACACAGTCAGGCAGGAGACCAAACATGCAGTTTTCTTTTACAGAGCACTCTGTGTGTTTTAGGGCCCCCCTGAGGCCAAACAATCAAAGAGCATTTAAAAAAGATGACAGAGTTTTAGTGCGCCAGAATGCTGGAGGTGCACAGCCAAAGGTGGGGGGGAGAAATATTTGCAGATGTATAAAGAACATGTGCATGTTTTTTTTTTTATGTTCGTACACACAGATTAATGCCAATGGGTAAAAGCGTGTGCTTGCTTGAGCATCGGCCAACTGCAAGATCCTGCTAGGCATGCCTTTGATCAGAGAAACCATAATGTGTTTTTGACGAGTAGGTAAAAGGAAAAAAAAACACAAAATTCAACTGACAATAGACAGATAGAGCACCAACTGAACTTCCACTATAGAGATGAAGAAGAGGGAGGAAGAAGAGAGAGCACGAGAGAGTGTGAGTAAGAGAGAGGGACATTGTGAAGAACGGCTCTGAAAGAGTTTTTGTGGGGCCATAACAAAGGCTCCTCAGAAAACACTGTGGCATAGGAATGTTAATTAATTAATGAGAAACTATTCAGGCTAAAGGATTGTGGGGAAGGAAGAAAAGTTAAGAGAAAGACAGACAGAGCAACAGGGAAGACAAACATTTATGAGTGCATACATTTTAGGCCGTGAGGCTCTATTTTTTCGATTAAGCCCGCATCCCACCGCCACAGTTTTGGTAGTCATGAACTTGCGAGTCGCATCCTTGTTTTTGGTTTTGCATCTATTCGCATCTGTGTTTGTGTTCCACCAACATACTGACGTTCCAACATGAAAGCGCCTGCCGCCTCTACACCTCAGGCCCAGGTTTCAGCTTTCTAAGAAATGCACCAGCTTTTATGAGGCCGACCGCTTGGTTCAGACGAAGCAATTCCTCATAAAACATCACCAGAACTGAAAACATGAGGAGGAATTCTGAGGTGTTTAACTTCCAGGAACCAGCTGTAGGATAATAGTACTGATAAATCAAATAGGAACAAATAAGGCAAGCTCTGCTTGATTGTCATAGCTGGTCATCTTTTCTAACTATACAATTATTATTTGGATGGTGTGCAAGCTAAATATGGCGCGATGCATCGTTTATTAATGCTTTTTGCACATTGTGATGCTTTAAATAAACTAATAACCTCTATATTTATTAAGTTATTGGTAAGAAACACATTAAAGTCCTTTCAGCAACCAATCATTTACAAACAGGTCAGCGGTCGTGGCCAGTGACTGCCTCTCGTCACTTCTTGTGAAGGGTGGCACAATATTGTGTCCAAGATTATAAACAAGCTTTCTTTTTGGATGACCTATCACTACATTCTGTCGTTACATTAGCATTACTTTCATCTTGGGAAACAGGTTGCAATTGTGGCCTACATACTTATATTCCATTAAATTTAGTTAATTAATATTGTTTTAGTTCACGTTAAGTTACAAAAAGTCGCTAAAGAATATCAATTCGTGTCCATTTAGCTTTTAAAAAGTTGTGAAAGTATTTGTCATGGTCTCAAAAACCCAGTATTTTATAGTTTGAAATTCAGCTGGATTTCTTCAGAAACTCATACTAGAGCATATGTGAAATGAATCTACCAGTTGTTTTGCGTAAGTCCGTCACAATCTGCTACTTATCTCTGGGCATTCATATGTGTGTGTGTGTGCGTGTGTGCGTGCGCGCGCGTGTTTGCATGCGTGTATGAATGTGACATTCCGACGTGGGGAACCTGAGAAGGTGCAACTTACGAGACACTAGATTCGGCTCCTTCTGGGAACTGAAGGGTGCTGTAGTGTCAGAATTTCAGTTTTCTCCACACGGTTGCCGCCAGTCACTCACTGAACTGCTCTTTCATAAGTTCATTCAGCTGTTTTAGTCCTTATCCTTAAAAAAAAACAAACCCTACTTTTATTCCTCTGTAGGTCAGGATCACTCTGTGCTCTATCATCTGCACTCTGTCGCTCCCATTTCCCCTTGGAAAATTAACTTTCTCACCCTCTGTGCTCAGACCAAGCTTCAAGGCAGAGCAAAATTAGAGGGGGGGGGAGGAAAGGGGGAAAAGAGAGGGAAGAGTTGGGAGTTTGAGAAGTGCGGGCCCCTCCCACTTTCCAGAGATGCTCCAGCCTATCCCTAAATTGTGGGCCAATGGGGCTGGCTCATTCACTCCATCGACAATAGGTAAAGAGAGAGAGGCACAGAGCAACAGATATATATTCAGACAGAGAAAGAGGGAGAGATACTGAATCTAGCAGGAGGAGAAAGAGTGCGGAGGGAAGATTTAGGACGGAAGACGGAAGGAGGAAGGGAAGTTAAGATTAAGTGAAACCCTAGGGGGAGTAAAGTAAAAGCTGGGAGACAAGCAGATTAATGGAGATGAAGAAGCAGATCTTCTGACAGGACAGATTTACAGTGTGGACAACCCGCTGGGAGGAAAAGCAGTAACAAAAAAAATAAATAAATAAGGAGGACAGGAACATCTGAGAGGAAACCATTTATCACAGCTGCCTCGTGAGACATTTCATAGGACAGAGGGGAAGCTCTTTGCAGGTGTAGATGCAGACAGGTGGACAGACAGACATGCTGCTTGGCGTACTGCTTCTCTGTGCTGCTGGAGGAAACTGGGGGTCCACTCCTGGAGCGTGGGGGCACGAACAGGTCCAAGACAGACAGGAGTCTGAGCCAGCTTGCCCGGCCCCTTGCCAGTGCGAGGAAGATGGCATTTTTATCATGGTGGACTGCTCGGAGATGGGTCTGTCATCTGTGCCGGCGGGCCTGAGCCCTTTCACCACATACCTGTAGGTAACATCTTGAAGTTAAAGAATGTTTTACTGCCTGATCAGACCTGCTTTTACTTAAATACCTTAAAAATTACGGATCTCTTGAAGTGTTTTAATGGCTCTTTAACTGCATGGTTGTGCTTATAGAGTTATCATCATCTAAACAGCTGGCTTGTTTATTTTTTATGATGGAAACTTATATTCAAAATATAGTTAGAAACTGTAATACTGCAATAATGATAGTATGTGTGAACACCAGTCACTGGCATGACACACATTATGTTAAAACTGCAACTCCAGCTCAACTTATCAGTGTAAGAACAAGTGACAGCGCGCGTGTGTGTGTTCGAGTGAGTGTGTCGCGCCGTCCACTACGGGTAAATAACCGAAGCACTTTCAGTGTCAGGTTTCTCAACACCAACTGGAGACCATGAATATTCTTCCATCTGTGTATGTGTGTGCTCACACACATTTGAGTTGAGCATGGCCTCTTCCAGGTTTGGCTTAATTTCTCTCCTTTGCCAATTAGTATCTCCATGTCATTCCTGCATGTTTTCCCTCCCCCCTGCCTATTTTCAATTCACATCTAAAGACATAAGCTAGTGGAAATGACTCTTTTTTTCCATAAAGTTGTTTTTCTACTAAATTACTGGGGTAAATTGTTATGAAAATGTTAAAATTTCATGTATGTAATTGTTTCTTTCATTTACATTCTATTTCCATATAGATGTTTTATTGGCAATTGAACCACATGAAAAAGTAATCCTGATTAAATCAAAATAACTAAGCATACTTTAGCTAGTAGATATCATTTAAAGGTGTAAATAACTTTGTTTCTTCACCGCAGATTATGTTCAGAGGGTAGGAAATGTTCTTCTGGTGGGTACAAAATGAGATGCACACAGCTCTGTTTTGTATCATTTCGTACATTTTGTTCGTACAAACCTCTCCGCAGACATTGGAGTCAATGGTCCACAAAAGGCCATTGTTGTTAGTTGTGCTCTCTTTTTATTCGTTTCCATTGTCTTGTTATGAGCTTGTCCAGATACTGTCAGCTTCCATTGCTGAATGACTTTAAAATCAATCCAGAGACGTCGACTCTTACGTCCACACTCAGTGTGCTGCTATGTGACATCAACGTTCTTCTTCTTGGCATGTGGAAGAAGTACACGCAGAAGTCTGTTTGCAGTTGCATCATTCGGTGGTACCACACACACAAGAGACAGGAGTTCAGTCACATATTGAAAGAGCGCATCATAGCCTGCTGTGTGAACCAAAGAGAAGGGTTAAAATGGGCTGTGTCTGTTCGTCTCCAAGCTTTTGTGGACTTTACTGACGCACACCAATGTATATTTGTTTAAAATGTACTTTTTCCACTCTCACATGTTGGTTTGTCATTGTTCAATCAGGTAAAAATAACACATCTACAATCATTTCTATTTGTAGCTTCACAAAGTGACTCGGTTGTATAACTGATTCATAAATGGCGAAATGCACAGTTTGTAGATGATTTGTGCGGTTATGTGTTTGAAAGGTTGTCATATCCTGCAGATGCATCCAAGAGCTACCAGCCACTTTAGAGGTAATAAGAGACACGTTAGACATTTTACAGAGCTCTTTCTTGCACCACCCTGCTGCTGCCTAAAAGCACATCTGTCACATGTATTCACGGTGCACGCCTTCAGATGAAAGATTAACAACACTCTGCGATACTGAAGTGATAAAAAGTGATAAAAGTGAAATCCTGATTTAAAGAGGTGCGCTTGAATGATGCCTCACTCTATGGACGTCTTGGGAGCCTGCAACAATCAAATTTCACTGTATAAATACATGTAGTGTTTAGGTTTTAACTCTTAATCCAAGAATCCCTGTATAGTGGAAGCCAGCAATTTACGTACACTATAAAAAGACAAATTGTCTGACATTAAATGAGGCAAATTGTTCCTGTCTTTAGTTCAGTTAGGAATCGAAAATGACTTTTATTTGCTAAATGCCTTAATAACAAGAGAAAATTTTGTTTTTGACAATTTTTTGAACTCCTTAACCCTCAACCCCGGAAAATACAATGGCAAAATGGCACACGGGCATTTTGTTTCAGGTTATTGAACCAACAACACAGTTATGCCTTTAAGTCATTTGGGAAATCCATGGTGGTAATGATGGGATGGCTTCGTAAGCTTTTAATTCACACACTTTTAGTTAAGTGAATGCTGATGTATTTTATGGCAACACATCAAATTTATTACTTCCTTGTTTGCCATTGTTGGAAAAAATAAATAAATAAAAAAGGCAAAATATCAGAAAGAGAATTGTGCCTCCCCCCCCATAATCGAGCAGCATAGCATAGAAACTTGTTACAGTTACACCAGTTCTATCAGGAGCAATGGGCAAAAAAAAAAAAAAGTACTATCAAGTGAACTACTAATTATATGTGTATGTGTGCATGTTGCATCTTGAACATGTTTTCTATTGCTTTTTTTAAATGTGTAGTGAATGAAAAGTTTGTGGCTCTTGCTGCTGCTGATAAAAGGGAGATTATTTTATTTACTTCCTGTGGGCAGGATTGCATTTTATTCTGCCTAAGGACATTCAGGATTTTCAGAATTTGTATTACTGGGTGATAGTAGCAGAAGCAAGGGCTTGCCCAGAGCTATATTAATAATACAGTGAAACTATGGCAGTTTCACTGTTGGGGACTTTCCAACAGTGAGGAAGAATGGCTTTGTGTGCAAATATCTAATTATAACTACATATCAGCATATAAATTATTGGTTTGGGGCAATTACAGCATAACTAAATCAGCACCCACTCAATGATGACTGGATCTGTTGGAAAGGTGGGTGTTGAGCCTCTAGAATTAAACAAAAATAAAAATAGAAAAAAAAAAAAACTATGGGGACCTGAAAGACTATTCATCTTTGGCAACAAATGCCTCTTAGCTGCTCCTTTGCAGCCACACACAAATACTCATCATTCCCTGCAAACACAGGCTTAATTGTTCATTTCCCTCCGTTACCTAACATTGGAACTGACCAATTAGTGAGTCTGAGGGCTGATTTAGAATGAGATAAATAAACTCAGAGGCCAACTACACACACACACACCCACACAGACTCGCTCACACACATGCAGTACTTTTGGAGAAGACAAGAAAGGAATGTGGGATGGCAGTGAAGATGCCACAACAAATGAAGTTCCTACAGGAAAAAAAAAAAAAAAGATTTCTCTTTTAAGTTGTTGATAAAAAATGATGAAAGAGAAACAACATGCACAAACACACTGGGTCCAGCCTCCACGGCGAGGATATACAGTTCAACATATTGCATAAAAGTTTATGACAGAAGTGAGCTGATCCGATCTCCACCAGCATCTGCTGAAGTGTCCAGAACACCCCGTTGTGGTGTGCAGGCAGGATTAGCCTCAGAGTGCACAGTGCAAAGAGATTTTCTTGAGGATTTACTCGGAAACTGTCCGCCTTAAAAACTGCATTAACACAAATCTCTGAAAGTGCATGACATCATTCGCCTGTGTCCCCAGAGAGCTCTTCAAAGCGAGCCAAAATGTTCACGCTACGACACTGGAGAGGGCGATTCGGGCAGCGCGGGGACTATTACATCTTCCAGAGTTTATTTGCAAACCTGGAAGGCCTTTCTGAATTCATGTATAAACATAATTAAATGTGAATCAGCAAAAACAATTGTATCCTAACACTGAGGGGGAGTGCAGCGTGGAACTCTGCAAAGGAATTTAACCACTGGGAGGCAAAAGGTGCTGCAAGAGGCTCAAAGCAAAGTTGCTGAAGATTTATAGCAATAATCATTTCTGTGGGCAACGCATAAAATGAGCTGTCATGTGTGACTCTTTGAAAATCCTTGATATCAGATTAGGAAGGAAAGACAGTGCACAAGGGTGAGAGACTTTGTGCACATATCCATGCGCATGAGTGTGCATGGATATGTGCAATGCTAGAGAACACTAAGTATACAGTGGAGTTGTTTGAGGATCTGAGGAGTTTGATGTTTAACTGAAGGCTTACAATGACTAAATAAGTAGCCTGTATGTAAGAAATGTTATGACTAAATGAATTAGTCAACTGTCATAATGACAGAACGGCTCATATTTAATGCGATTTTTGAAATAGCAACTAAATTGATTTTTCTTTCACGTTACTTTGCATGCGAAGACTGCTAGCATTTTTATATTTTGCCTTTTTACAAATCAAAAACGTTTCTTTTTTCCTGGGGTTTGATTTCAGCTCGCCCAGGTCAATGCTTTGTAGAGCAACTTTCATAACTGGGTCATTCTGACGTACGGTGGTGTTTTGATCCGAATCATTTCATCGGAGGCTTGTTGTACGAGGTTATAGTCCTGCTGGAAGGTGAATTTCTGCCCAGTCTTGAGTCTTCTGCAGTATGCAAAGATTGCCCGGTATTTAGCACCAGACGTCAATCTGTCCAATCTGTCAAATGTTTGAGCTCCTGTAAAAGTAAAGTGCTCCTGTGATATGATGCTGTCACCACCAGGTTTCATAATGTATTCAGCGTGATGTTGGTTTACCGCCAAATGCAAGGCTCTCACAAGAGCGCCGTCTGTCACGTGTTTGCTTGAATCCCACGTAAGATTTGTTCCTTGCCGCTATTCCATAAAGGCCAGATTTGTGGAACAGCAAGTTATACTGCGAAAACATCAGTGTTGTCTTATCCATTAACAAACATGAACTGGTACCTTTAACCCAAGTCTGAATAGAACAGGTTCATTGGACAGCATCCCTCATGAGCTGACCAAATACAGGATATGTAAAAGAGGTGCAAAAGAATTGTAACATATTTCTTAACACATGTCTGATGCTGCCTTAATAGTAACTCTTTTTACAGGGCTGTTGATTTCTTCTTGTCCTCCAAAATCATCTTGGATGTCTTAAGTGCTTCTACCATTAGTGTTCTCATTCATGGTTGGTCAGAATAGCCAGGATCTGGCAGGTTTGTGGTTCTGTCTTGGTGTTTGCATTTTGAACAATT